AGGAGGAGGCAACAATGCTTGATAAGAAATGTACTCATTACCTTGCTCATGTAATTGTAACCCCTCTGTATGGTATTTTCACAATTTTTAAAAAAAATTTTAAAAAATTCATTAATGGCGCATACAATGACTCCTTGTTGTATGTGTGTGTGTGTGAGCATGCACACGTGCACATGCACGCACACATGTTCTCACCAGTCCTGGCACTTTAAACTCAGGGCCTGGGCAGTGTCCCTGAGCTTTTTTATTCAAGCCTAGTGTTCTACCACTTGAGCCCTACCTCCCGCTTTTTGGTGGTTAATTGGAGATGAGTCTCATGAACTGTCCTGCCCAGGCATGTTTCCAATCACAATCCTCAAATCTCAGCCTCCTGAGTAGCTAGGATTAGAAGCATGAGCCACTGGCACTTGGCCTATACCTGCTCTTAACCCATTAAGGGCCTTAAAACACTAACCAATCAGTCCTGAAACAGGGCATGATTACAACAAGACCGAACAGGACAGAAAGCTCTAAAGACATAAATAAAATCAAGAAACAAACACATAATAATGAATGGTCTTCTTCAGAAATTAGTAGCCAAAGGGCTGGGAAGGTGCTCAGTGGTAGAGCGCTTGCCTTGCATGCATGAGGCCCTGGGTTCAATTCCTCAGCACCACATAAGCAGAAAAAGCCAGAAGTGACACTGTGGCTCAAGTGGCAGAGTGCTAGCCTTGAGCTGAAGAGCGCAGGGACAGCGCCCAGGCCCAGAGTTCAGGCCCCACGACTGGCAAAAAAAAAAAAAAAAATTAAAATGATGAGTCAGAAAAAATAAACAGAGCTGGTGGATCACACCTGTAATCCTAGCTATGATGGGAAGCATAAATAGGAGGAACCCAGTATAGGATAGCATTGGCAAAAATCAAGACCCTATTTCAAAAATAACCAGAGCAGCTAGGTACTAGTGGCTCACTCATGGAATCTTAGCTACTCAGGAGACTGAGATCATGGTTTGAAGCTAATCTGGGAAGAAAAGTCCATAAGATTCTTATCTCCAGTTAACCTGCAAAAAGCTTAAAGTAGAGGTGTGACTCAGGTGGTACAGCACCTTCCTTGAGCAGAAAAAACTAAGGGAAAGTGTGAGGACTTGAGTTCAAGTCCCAATCCTGGCAAATAAATAACCACAGCAAAACAGACTAGAAACACAGCCTGAGAAACAGAATTCCTATATAGCAGTTATGAAACTAGCACCACCAAAATTACTTTAAAAGGATATTTTAAATTTTCTTATACGGTAAATATCTGTTTTCACAAAAATTATAACAATGCATTATGGTTTCTGACCTATATATAGGAGATAGAAATAGGAGAGCAGTAAGAGAGCAGCAAGTATCAGGGACCTGAGGGACAGAGACTAAGGTAGAGGGCAATGTGGAAAAGACAATGGGCAAAGGACAGAGAACAAAAAATGAGGATGAGGGAACAAAAGCCAAAGCCAGCAAGATCACAGGGCCAGTGTTAGAATGCTCAGGAAAGAGAGAAAAGAAAAACAAAGCAAAAGAGAGAAAGCAAAAAACAAAAAAACAGGGCTGGGAATGTGACTTAGTGGTAGAGTGCTTGCCTAGTATGCATGAAGCCTTGGGTTCAATTCCTCAGTACCACATAAATAGAAAAAGCTGGAAGTGGTGCTGTGGCTCAAGTAGTAGAATGTTAGCCTTGAGCAAAAAAAACCCTCAGGGACAGTGCCCTTGCTCTGAGTTCAAGCCCCAGGAATGGCAAAAAAATAAAAAATAAAAGGAATCAGAAGTAGCAGATAAAAGCAATTACAACCATAACTGATTGTTCAATACTACAATGTGTAAGTTTACCTCTGTTATAGACATAAATCACTGTACTTAGAGCCTATAACTATACCCAAAATGGATTTGCATCTTTTTCACTTTCTCTATCACTCTACCTTTCCTGCTGCTGGGGATTGTGCTTCCTAGGGCAAGTGTTCTACCTCTTGGGCCATGTTTCTAATCTTTTTACTTTCTTCTAGGCTTTTAAAACTGAACAATCATACTGCTACCCATAGGCATTAATTGGAGTCCTTTATGTTTAAAGGATTATTACTATCTAGAAAACTAACTCTAGTCATTTCAGTCTCTTTCAATTTCTCTTCAGCTCTTCTGACATTCCCTCAATTCTCACACAACCATTCTTTTCTCTCCTAAAATACCAAAATGTCACTATTGCCAATTAGTGTGATTCTCCTACTCCCCTTTCACCACTATAGGCAGTAACCGAGAAAAACTTGCTAATCCATTAATTAAAGATCTCTACTTCCCATTATAGAGGACTAAATTTAGTAAGCCAAATTAGGCTGGGAGGAAACCATGTGTCACAACAAGTGAGATGAATTCTATGGAAGGGGGCTGAGTTACTGGCCTGTTTCTTATAAAGACTCTGACACTAGCACACCCTCCCCTCTGCTGAGAATACAGAGAAAATCTCTCATGGGAAGGGCAACCATTCATCACTGTAATGATCTGGAGAAGACTATTATACCATCAGGTCACAAAAGCCACAGGACCTATCAGCAAGCTACTGCCTCAGAAAACATGTCTCTTCTGTTTCCCTGAAACCTCCAATTTAGTTACACAAAAGGAAAGGATGGCAAACCAGTATAAATTGTAGCCTTAGAGAAGAGCTACTTCCCGCCTGCAGGGGTGGCAATGTCTTTAACCAAATAGATATAAAGACAAAAGTAAACACTATAATTTGCTGTTTGGTCTCTGGCACAGGGGGCGTGATGCAATCCACACTGTCTGTAAACAATAGTAATGCCAGATGTAGCCCAAAGAACAGGATTCCCCCCATCTTTCTGCCCCCTTTCCTATCCCCTCTCCCTAGGATATCACTCCTGAAACATACAGAAGCTTCCTTGTATCCATATGCTGCTACCAAATGGAACCAAGAAAGAATCCGAGTTGGTACTGGCTACTCTTATCTCACTCTTACACTAAAGAATCGTTGGTTCAAGAAAGTTTCGATTAAGCCAGGTGCTCACGCCAGTATCCTAGCTACTCAGGAGGCTGAGATCTGACTGTCCTAGTTCAAAGCCAGCCTGGGCAGGAAACTCCATGACACGCTTATCTCCAATTAACCACCAGAAAACCAGAAGTGGCCCTGTGGCTCAAGTGGTAGAACTCTAGCCTTGAGCTGAAGAGCTGATGGACAGTGCCCAGGATCAGAGTTCAAGCTCCACGGTCAACCAAAAAAAATAAAAGAAAGTTTTGATTATTTCTATAGGGAGATATCAAAAATATAAGATAGAAGAAGGACTGGGAGAGAAAGGGAAACTGTGGAATATCATATATAATAATACATAATATATAATATATAGTAATATGCATCATGCAACAATGTAAATACATGCATGTATATATATATTTTTTTTCTTTTTAATCTGCCTACAGTCCAGGTTCATTAAAAGTATAGCAAAAGAGGATGAACCCAAGAGAGAAGTTACCTGACCAGAGTTCCCGCCAGGTGTAATGCAGGCGAACTCTACACTTCTTCTGGTAACAAAGCAGTTTATGTACTACCTGAATGCAGCGTCTGTAACGAAAAAAAGAGAAAAATTGGGGTAAGTATGAGTATAGAGTACAATTTACCACAGATATTCTTTTTTTTTTCTTTCTTTCTTTCTTTTTTTTTTTTGGTCCTGGTCCTGGGGCTTGAACTCAGGGCCTGGACATGTCCTTGAGCAATTCTTTTGCTCAAAGCTAGCACTCTATCACTGTGAAACATAGCACACTTCTAGCTTTTTTGGTAGTTTAGTGGAAATAAGAGTCTCACAGATGCCAGGAGCCGGTGGCTCACGCCTATAATCCTAATTACTAAGGAGGCTGAGATCTAAGGATCACAGTTCAAAGCCAGCCCAAGTAGGAAAGTCCATGAGACTCTTATGTCCAATAAACCACCAGAAAACCAGAAGTAGCACTGTGGCTCAAGTGGTTAGAGTGCTCACTTTGAACTTAAGAGCACCCAGGCCCAAGAGTTCAAGCCCCATGACTGACCAAAAAAAAAAAAAAGAGTCTCACAGATTTTCCTGTCTGGGCTGGATTCAAACTGTGACGCTCAGATCTCAGCCTCTTTTTTTTTTTTTTTG